GAAATGCATAATATAACAAAGCAAAATATAAGTGCTGGGCTAGGACCGGTTCAATTGTATGTATCTACTTTCTTTCTTCATCTATCAGTTTTCTATGAGCATTATATTTGGGGACCAGAAGCGCAATATATAGTATAAGCATTTCATTAAGTTGTTGTTTTTTTCTTGTGTGCCTCATAAAATGTTCCTGTACCTTTTGAGTGCGTTTGAGTAATCATGGGGCCTATTCTTTGATTGAAAGAGAATGTGCAAACTTATTTTATTTGTAATTTTTTTTTATTCATTAACACATAATTCATGTAACACGTGTACATATTTATAAGAGTATCTCTAGGATTGGAAATAAAATCCCACCAAGGAAAAGAGAGTTTGATTAGTTATTGATTTGGATTGTATTCCATTTTAGTCCGATCCATTTGATAGAGATGAAAAAAAAAAAAGAATATTGCCTTTAGTTTCATAGTCTAATTATACTTTAGGAAACGCTTTAAGTTTAATTCCCAGTAAGCCTTATTAATCGCATTTAATTGAAATTCACATTTTCCCAGATTTTCAAACATCTCTTACATTAATCACATCATTTATATATGACTAAAGAAAAAAAAATTGTGATTTCCAATATCAGGAAAGGAAAATAAGAGGGAAAAATGTTTAAATCCTAAAATAAAGAGAGAACTTTAAAAAAATTCTAATTTTTTTTTTTTCAATATATCCTCATCTGTTGAGATATATAATCTCACATTTATGTGCAACTAATGTGGAGTTTATAAGGCCTTGGACACTCCCACCCTTTGAGCTAACTTTTGGGGTGGTGTATCCCAAGGTTCTTTACATGGTATCAAAGTCTCGCCGTCCCCCTCTTTCTCTTGTGGCGTTTCTTAGCACAAGTAGGCTGAGCCTGTTGCATTGCCCACTCTTCAAGCCCAATGGGCTCTTGTGCAAAGGGGCGTGTTGAGATATATAGTCTCACATTGATTGTATGTGCAACTAATGTGGAGTTTATAAAGCCTTGGACATTTTCACCCTTTGAGCTAGTTTTTGAGGTGATGTATCCCAAGGTTCTTTACGCCATTTCTTTATTAAGCAAAATAAAGTTTTGGATTTTCCCTTTTTTTTTCCCTCTCGATACAAATAGAGCAAATCTCCTTTTCTGGTCAGGGTTTAATTTTCTCTTCTAGGGATATTTTTATTTCCCTTTATGTGCCTACAACAAGTGTCTGAATTATGTGAATAGAGTTAAGATCATTAAAAAGAAGAGTAAATGCATTTTAAAGATATAATGTCATCAAACATTTTTTATTCTTTATTTATTGCTGACATTAAACTATTCTTTAAATGATAATCAATGTAATTATTTTTATCTTTGGCAACTATTTTGATCAACAAGAGAAAAGAAGAAGCAACTTTGGATACAATATATATATATATATATATATATATATATATATATATGAGGTAGGACCCTTTGACACTGGTTTTGACACCTCATCTGAGAGCCATTAGATAAAAAAAATCAATGGTGTCACATGCTCACAAATCAGAGCCATTGATCTTTTTCGATCTAATGGCTCTCAGATGAGGTGTCAAATTTCAAATTTGACACCGGTGTCAAAGGATCCTACCTCTATATATATATATATATATGGGAGAGATTTTTTGACTTCAGAGTAAGATTTCTAAGTCTTACTCCTCATCTTAACCGTTGATTTCCGTTCATCCAACGGCTATAATTTATTGAGTTATATCAATTAATTAACTATTAATTTCAAATAAATAACAACTATTAGATGGACGGAAATCAACGGCTGAGATGAGGAGTAAGACTTAGAAGTCTTACTCCGGAGTCAAACTATCTTCCCTCATATATATATATATATATATATATATATATATATATATATGGGAAATCATACTCTTATGCAATAGGAAAGCAAAAGAATTTCCTACACTAATTCGTTTTCCGTGCCAATTAATTATTTTTTTCTTTTCTAATATAAAATGTGGGACCCACATCTAATTTGTCTCTACTTTTGTTATCTCATGTTTTCATGCAACATAAGAAAACATGGACCCTATATATATATAAGGAGAGTTATATTTATAAAATTTTTGTATACAAACTACACTATGAATTCCTGGGTAGGGGTGTTCATTAACCAATTCAAACCGCGGTGACCGAATCGAAAAATCAATAACCGAATAAACTGAAGAATCAAAAATTGAAAAAAAATGATAAATTTTAATTGGATTGGATCGGATTTCGGTTTGGCTGATGAAAACTGATCCAATATATTGTTTCCCCTCTACCTACTTGGGCATTTCCCCAATCATAATCCAAAAAATTCTAAACCCAAACCCATTAACCCATCAACTAAATCCAAGAAAAAAATCTAGCCACATCCCATCAGCAAAATTTCATCTATGTAGAGCTTCATATCTCATTGCTTAAAAAAAATTATATTATCGTTTACTGATGCTTCTGTATTTCAAAAAAAAAAACTTTACAAAGTCAATATATACAAAAGATATGTTATTTGCACGATAATCATGAAACAAATTTTAGGCTTTTTAAAAAATCGAAAACCAATCCAATTCAAACCAAAATTTTTTGGATTGAATCAGATTTGAAAAAAAATTCAAACCGAATGGATGATTACATAATCAAACGAAAAGAATTGGATCAGATAATTTTTGCTTCCAAAACTGATCCAATCTAGACCGCAAACACCCCTACTCTCAGGACTATATAGTGTAATTTGTAAAAGTTTGTAAGAAAAAAAATTTGTCAATATAACCCTTCCCTATATATATAGGGATAAGTTATATTTATAAATATTTTTGTTTACAAACTTACAAACTACACTAAGTCTGACTAGTCATACTTCAATCAAGAGTGTATGACTGATCAGATTTTGTGTAGTTTGTAAGTTTGTAAGAAAAAAGTTTGTCAATATAACCATATATATATATATATATATAGGAAATTATATTCTTATGTTGCATGAAAGTCATCTCTCATATTACACTCACATAAAAAGATGTGCATCTTTTTTTAAAATAAAAAAATTGATGGACCTCACATTGTTTATCTCTCAACATAAGATAACTTCTCTCCTACTACATAAAAGAATATATATATATAGGGAAAATATTTTCTCCTTTTGTTGGAGATATCTTGTCTTATGTCATAGAGATAAACATGTGGGGCTCACCTTTTATAACAAAAATAAAATAAAAACTAAAACTAAAGGGACCTACATTTTTATCTCTATGACATGAGACAAGATGTCTCCAACAACATGAGATTAATAAATCCCATATGTATATATAGACTCTTATGTTGCATTAATTTGAAGTTCTCCTGCACACTATGTACTCCGGAGATTACATACTTATAATATTAAATTTTTTTATATCCCTTATAACTATGTACGCCGCGAAATACATAGTTATAATATTAAATGTTATTTTTTTCTTATATTATTATAACTATGTACTCTCTGGAATATATAGTTTGTAAGAGAATTTCAAATTCCTTCAACATGAGAAAAAGGGGATCCTATATATAGAGAGAGATAGGATATTCTATCTACATTTTTTTTGCCTACCTATCTTTACATACCACTCTCTAACATCATTAAATCAGAATTTTAATAGGAGAGAGAAATAATAACTATAGTTGAGATTTGTTCTAATGATGTTGGAGAGTATTAACATTATGATCTAATGGTGTTGGAGAGTGGTAAACAAAGGTAGGTAGGTGTAACACCCCGTTCTAGAACCGGTTTGTTAACATCGCATTATGATATTAAGCGCAGTTACAATCACATGGGTTCAATTAAAAATCCGGATAAATTTTTCATTTTAAAACGTACCGAACTTATAATACCCATTTTCGTGATCATAACCATATTACCTTGCGGAAACAGATAAATTAAGCTTAACATCATGTTCATTTTCCATTTTTAAACCATTAATTTACTTCTTATTTAGTTCACATCTTCTACTCTATTGTAGGTTTCTTCATTAGCTACCTGTGGCTTCAAACCGTGCTCAAATCAGAGCACTGTAGTCCAAGTTAGGACAATTTGAAGCAACACAAGAGAGTGTTGGTCACAGGCCCCGCGCGCTTCAGCGCGCTATCGGGCGCTAAAGCCTCCATCTGGGCGCTTAAGCGCACGGAGGCAGGAAGCATAAGATATTCCAGTGTAAATGGGCGCTTAAGCGCGCATTAGGGCGCTCAAGCGCGCTATCCTGGGCGCTTAAGCTCCCAGTGGGACGTTTTAGCGCGCAGAGACAGAAGCATCTTCTCCTTCAGTGGCTAAGGGTGCTCAAGCGCGCAACCCTGGGCGCTTAAGCCTCACCCTGGGCGCTAAAACACGAGGGGACAGTAAGCATCCCAACTTTCTGCAGCAAAGGGCGCTTAAGCGCAAGCCAGGGCGCTCCAGCGCGCAATCCTGGGCGCTTCAGCCCCCACTTGGGCGCTTCAGCCCCCACTTGGGCGCTCCAGCGCGAGGAGGCAGAATGCATTGGCACTCGCAGGGGCAGCAGGGCGCTTGGGCGCGCTCCTGGGCGCTTAAGCGCGCTGCCAGGGAATTCCAATTTCCACATTTTTCAAGTCCAAGCCTAGGGGAAGATGCATCCCCATTACAAACCCCAATTATCCATGCCCCAAACTAAATCCTAGCACTCATCCAACCTCTCCTCATGAGATTTAGCTAGAATTTGGGCAGCATGACCTTTGTTTTCTCATCGTTTACCAATTTAAACAAAGGGTACCTAATTGATTTTCAGCCCAACCAATTCAACAACTTAATACATAACAAGCATGCATATATTGAATTTCAAGTAGACATCATTTACATTACATATCCTTTACAAATCGTAGAACTTAGCTTACAAAACACTATGATCATTCCCTTGGCTCCCATCAACAAAAGGTGTAACCAAAGGCATGAGCATAGGCTAAGTCCATTCTAATATACAAATCATAAATCTAGCATTGCCTATTCATTACAATTCTATACATGTGAGCTACAAAACAACATGTATAATCTCAAAAGAAATGCCACATTTCATGCATAATCCAGATATGGCCACTTGCCACCAGAGGCTCCTGCAGCATCCTTACCTGAAAGGGGGTCCCCACAACACGGGGTGAGATATACGAATATATCCAGTAAACCAGGGGTCCTTGGAGCATCTCTCCACCCCACAGTTCCATATCAGTGTAATAGCAATAACAATAATAATGCAGTAAATACATATCTATGCAAAGTGCTATACATCTCCAGGAGAACTCCCTCGAGCTCTCAAGCTGTCCAAAGGAAACTCAGATGCAAATAGTCCTACTGGCCAGCTAACTACCAAGTATGATTTACGCATCGTCATGCAACATACCACATAGGGAAACACCATCCTATGCCACACCAAATGCATACACATACATATAACAAAGCATTACACTATTTCATTGCATTTATATACACTATAATTACCACTACCCTTTCAGGGCTTGGTGGAACAATCAAGGGAATTACACCCAAGGTCCGAAGGCTTACCTCAATGCTTCAGTCGACCTTTGTTCTTCACCAACAGTTTCAGCAATCCACTTTTACAAATATACACCTATACAAGGGTAATGCAATTAACATATTGCATTCAAGGATAACTCATCATCATCAATCCAAGCTATCCTATTCATACCACAACACAAGGATGAGCTTACCAATTCCAATGAGCTATTCAAGCTCCATAGCTTGCTCCAATGGTTGATCACTCACGGTTGGTCCAAATGTCTCAATCCTAGACATCACAAGGACACAATAATCAATCAACCAAGCCATACCATTTATCGACAATGCAAGAAATCCAATAACAAGCATCATATTCTCGCCATTTTACAAGTATACTCATTTGGCTATCTAAGCTCATTTTCACCGATTAAATGACATTCCTAGCATTTTCCCTAACATGCTCTAAGCTCCATTCTTCCTAGAACATAGCTAATTCAACTACATTTCATCAAAATCCCAATTTACTATTCATAAACCCTAACTCATGCAAATTTCAAGGAATCATGAGGTTCAAGGGTTAGAATCTTACCACCGATGGTCACACCACCAAGGATTGATGGCTCCTCAAGCTTCAATGGAGGTAGAAACTCTCAAAACCCCAATTTTCACCAAAGGGCCGAATTTTTGAGAGGTAATATCTCTCTCCACAATGCTCCCCACTCAAAACAAAGCAAGGATTATGAAAGAGGAGGAGATTTGGAGTGGTTTAGGCTTTTGAACGGATGGATTTGGTTGAGATTTGCTTTCTCTCTCTCTCTCTTTCCCCCCTTCCTTCTCCCTCCTTTCTCCTTCTTCTTCTTCTTCTTTCTGTTTCTTTCTCGACGGGTTGCAGGGGGGAAATGGGTTTACTTTTGGCTTTTGGTCACTTAACATTGGTTAAGTGGCTTTAAGCGGGTATTGGTTCGTCTATCTATTCAACTCCAATAATTACCAAACTTTACCCAAAAGTTTGGAATATTATTCTAGGAATATTACTATTTTTATTTTTATATTTTGGGTACTTTTGCCAGTACCCATTTATACCCCTTAATTTTCACTGAGTACACTTTTTAACTCCAAAGTGACTCAAATTCATTTAATTAAGCCTTATACTTAATTTCACTCACTAAAACATATTTAATTAATTAATCACACTAGATTTACTAATTAATTAAGTTGGGCTATTATAATCACCCCACCTTTTAGCGATTTTGTCCGCAAAATCAAGAACATACCTGTCCTTAAACTCAGGATATTACCGGAGAAGCTCATCTTCCCGCTCCCAAGTGGACTCTTCAGGCGTCCTTCCTTCCCACTGGACTTTCACCATAGGAATAGATTTATTTCTCAGCTTCTTCTCATCTCTTTCAAGTATCTTCAGTGGCCCAATAGGAGTCTTCAAATTCTCCCGGATCTCAACATTATCAGGTTGAACCACATGAGAAGGGTCAGCTACATATTTCCTCAGCTGAGAAACATGAAACACATCATGAAAATTTGCTAATTGCGGGGGTAAGGCAAGCTGGTAGGCAACCGGTCCCACCCTACGAAGAATCTGATAGGGTCCAATAAATCTCGGACTCAGCTTCCTCACTCCAAGGGCTCGTCCCACACCCGTAACTGGTGACAGCTTCAGGAACACATGATCTCCCTCCTCAAACTCTAGAGGTCGATGCTTGAGATCATAGTAACTTTTCTGACGATCCTGAGCCTTCTTCAGACGATCCCTAATCATTTTGATATGCTCAGTAGTCTCCTGAACAAAATCCAATCCAAACCGCTCTGTGTCTCCAACCTCAGACCAACAAGTAGGTGTCCTACACCTGCGACCATACAAGGCCTCGTAGGGAGCCATACCCAGACTAGCATGAAAACTGTTATTATATGAAAACTCAACCAGCGGTAGATATCGATCCCATACAGTACCCTGCTCCAGGGTGCAAGCCCTCAGCATATCCTCCAACGTCTGAATGATCCTCTCAGTCTGACCATCCGTCTGTGGGTGATAAGCAGTGCTCAGTCTCAACTGAGTGCCAAGAGCCTCCTGCAATGCTCCCCAGAAGCGAGAAGTGAACTTCGGGTCCCGATCACTAACAATTCTCTCAGGCACCCCATGAAGCCTCACAATCTCCTTCACATAGAGCCTAGCCAATCTCTCAGCAGAGAAATCTACCCGAACTGGCAAAAAGTGTGCGGATTTTGTCAATCTATCCACAATCACCCATATAGAATCATAACTATCCTGTGTTCGCGGCAATCCCACTACGAAATCCATGGAGATACTCTCCCATTTCCATTCAGGAACATCCAGAGGTTGCAACATACCAGAAGGCTTTTGATGCTCAATCTTGACCTTCTGACAAATGAGACACTTAGAGACAAATTCGACAATGTCTTTCTTCATACCAGGCCACCAGAAATTCATCTTTAGGTCCTGATACATCTTTGTAGCTCCCAGATGAACTGTAAAATGACCCTTATGAGCCTCTGTCATTACTTCCTCCGCCAACTGCCTAGGTACTACAACACGACCCTGATATAGTAGTACACCCTCATCATTGCAGGATACACCACTCTGACCTTTTAGTCGTTTAGCGCTTTCATTTTGCAGTTGAGCTTCTTTGATTCTGGTCATCAGTTCATTCTCAATGCTTGTGATTTCAAAGCCACAAATTTTACATGGAAAGAATTTAGATAATTGAATATCTCTGAACCTCTCAATCACATCATAATCTCTGATCATCATGCTTGATATACTCACGGATTTTTGGCTCAGTGTGTCCGCTACAACATTAGCCTTGCCAGGATGATATTTCAATTCAAAATCATAGTCTTTGAGGAACTCGGTCCACCGTCGTTGTCTCATATTCAGCTCCTTCTGATCAAACAAGTATTTCAAACTCTTGTGATCGCTGAATATTGCAAATTGCATTCCATACAAGAAATGCCTCCACTGTTTCAACCCAAAAACAATTGCAGCAAGCTCAAGGTCATGGGTTGGATAATTTTCTTCATGCGGTTTCAATTGCCTCGATGCATAAGCTACCACCCGCCTATCTTGCATCAGCACACATCCCAATCCCTTCTTGGAAGCATCGCTGTATAGCTCAAATTCACCTTCCGGGTCGGGAAGTACTAACACCGGAGCGGTCGTCAGTTTCTCCTTAAGGCTCTGAAAGCATTCTTCACATTCTTGTGTCCAAACAAATGGAGTATCCTTCCGGGTCAAACGGGTCAATGGCAACACCATGGCTGAAAATTCTTTAATGAATCTCCGGTAATAACCAGCCAAACCCAGAAAACTTCTTATTTCTGTTACTGTCTTGGGTCTTTCCCAATCAACAACTGCCTCTATCTTGCTAGGATCAACCGCTACTCCATCAGCAGAGATAACGTGACCCAGAAATTGCACTTGAGAAAGCCAAAACTCACATTTAGAAGGCTTTGCATATAACTGCTTCTCTCTGAGAATTTGCAACACAGTTCTCAAGTGACCTTCATGCTCTTCCTTACTCTTGGAATATATCAGGATATCATCAATAAACACAATCACGAATTGATCCAGAAACGGCTTAAATATGCGATTCATGTAATCCATAAACACCGCAGGAGCATTAGTGAGTCCAAATGGAATTACTTGATACTCATAATGTCCATATCTAGATCGGAAGGCAGTCTTCGGAATATCTTCCTGCCTAATTCGGATTTGATGATAACCCGACCTCAAATCAATCTTTGAGAAAACACAAGCACCCCTCAACTGATCAAGCAAATCATCTATGCGAGGGAGAGGATACTTGTTCTTAATGGTAACCTTATTCAACTGACGGTAATCAGTGCACAATCTCATGCTACCGTCCTTCTTCTTAACAAATATGACTGGTGCTCCCCACGGGGACACACTTGGCCGGATAAACTGCTTAGCCGAAAGCTCTTCAATATGCTTCTTTAACTCGGCTAATTCTGGTGGTGACATCCTATACGGAGCCAGAGAGATAGGCCCCACACCAGGCAATAGATCAATCGTGAACTCAATCTCTCTATGAGGCGGAAGTTGTGGAATTTCATCTGGAAACACATCCACAAACTCCCTCACCACGGAAATAGTGCCAATCTCCTCATGACTTCCGCCTACTAAACCCCCCACAAAGACATATCCCAATGCCCCGGCCCTCAAAGCCTTTCTAACCTGCAACACAGATAGATATGGGGAAGAACTAGTAGCAGAATCATCAGCATCAAGCACAATCCTTTTACCACAGCAGTCTATCATAGCACAGTTCTTTGACAACCAGTCCATACCCAAGATAACTTGAAGGCTGATCATAGGTAAACAAATAAAATCCAGCACGTAATCTCGGCCTTCATATTTGAATTCAACATCTTTACACAACACGGATGTATAACACTCCTCTCCAGTAGCAGTAACCACTTTCATTGGAGGGCGAATGTCATACATTTGCAAGTTTAGCCCAACGGCCATAAAATCAGACATACAGGAGTGTGTAGCTCCTGAATCAAACAACACTTCAACATCCATATTATCAATGTAAATTATACCTTTCACTAGATTCGGAGCCTTCTCCGATTGTTGACGGTCCATGGTATATATTCTACCAACCGTCTGAGACTCTAGCGTAGGTGGAACAACAGAGACAGGAACAACAGTAGCTTGAACTGCCATAGTCCTTGCTTCGTTCTGAGGACACTGCCTGGAATAGTGACCGGATCTTCCACATTTAAAACAGATCACCTCACCGGTAGCACATGGACCTCTATGCTCCTTGCCACATCCCTTGCACTTGGGAGGAGGTCCTCTATCAACAAACTTCTTCTGAGTACCGGGTTTTTTGAACAAGTCAAAGGGCTTATTCGCATTCAGCTTCTTGCCTTGCATCTTCCTGTTCTTCCAATAACCTGAGCCCGTTGCTTTATTGGAACTAGGTGTCTGGGCCTCAGAAGGCTTCTTGGTTTGGGACACCTTATACACTTCTTCCACCTTTCTACACTGGTTTACAAACCGACTGAACTCTCGGATGTCACAATTTGACATCTTCCGAGACATCTTCTCATTAAGACCCCATTGGAACTTGGAGGTCATTTCAGCCGGAGTGGGTAAGGCTCGCCCATAGTTGGCGTATTTCACCAACTCATTGAATTTTGAGAAGTATTGGTCAATAGACATCGACCCTTGCTTAAGGTCGTTGTACTCATTCTGCTTTTGTTCCCTAGCCTCTCTAGGGAAGTAGTT